CTATTACAAACAGCATCGTAGCCTACCAGGTTTTGACCCATACTGATTTATGAGGGAAGGGAAGCAATTAGAACACTGCAGTGATAAAGCTCATCTGATTCTGCATTTTTTTAAAAACAAGAATGAGAGATGGAAAGTGAGGTTTTTTTTCTAATGTTTCTGTCATCATTTCCATACTTATCTGCAAGCAATAATATCATAAAGAGGTTTCTTGGGATGAAAAGTGGTAGGTAGAGCTACCTTGGGCGTGGAAATAGGGACTTGGCGGGAAGGACCCAGACCTCGGGCGTCTAACCCAGGATGAATGTTAGCTACGGCCGCCGCTTCCCTCTCCCACCACCCCCAGTGCGGCACCCTCCTCTGTCCTCGCCTCCCTGTGCCCTGCCCTTTCTTCCACCAGCATTCACACACAGCACGGCAGAGGGATCGTTTTCCTTGTTAAATGAAACCACTGTACAGGTTCCTGTTACAGTATTTTCAGAACATCTGGTTTTCAAATGAAAAGATCTTCAGGGGCACAGCAGCACCAGGGAACAATTCTGCAGAAGCTTTTAACAAAACTTGAAATTGTTTAACCAAAAAAATCCCTCCCCTTCCTGCTGCTCTATGACACGCAGTCTCTGCCCTCGAAGGGGAGGACTTCAGAGGTGAGAGAGCTTTGTCGTCACTCTCAGATACGGCCTTTAGCTGCCAGTCTGTTCCTGTCCGCTTCTCCCACCCCCGGTAAATGGGAGTTTAATTAAAGCACAACATAGACACGTAGACGGAAAGAAAACTAACCAAGAAACCAGTAGGAAATACATTTCAAAGTTTAATTTTCCAGCACGTATTTTTGCTTTCAATAGATCTCAAATAAGTCTAAGTAAATAAATAAACAAAAGGGGACAGCTGTATTTAATATCTATTGGCCAGTGCAGCACAACTATGAAAATAAAATTGTTAGGGGGATTCCTTTCCTGCCCTAGTGTCTGGATTTAAAGCAGCTCCCTAACAGAAACTGAAGGGGAATTCAATTAAGGAAACCCATCGGCTCCTTATTGACTTTAGTTACGAAAATAAACTGGGGGAAAGTGTATTAAAATATGTCTGGACTGCTTAGTATGCTTTCATTTAAGCTTATGACAATCAAAATGGGAGAATTTAAATTCTCTACAATTAAGCTCAGCTTTCGAGCAGATTGGGTTCTCTGGGTTATTACACTGCATTTTTTAATGTACACCCTGCTCGCTCCCCTCAAAGCCCCCCTCAACGCAGCCTTGCAGTGACTGCATCGGGGAGCAGGAGCACCGCAGAGCAGTTGGAGAAGAAAAAGTATTTAAGGTTGTGAATTTAATTTTGTTCTAGGATTTTCATTTTCATTTATGGCACCCGTTGTGTTTGAGACCACGGACTAATTTATGGATTAGTTTTAAACCCCCAGTCTGTCACACTCGATGAACAATTCTAAGTTGGAGAGAATCCATATGAAAGGATTAGAATTTGCCACAGTGGAGCTTACACATGACTGTTTCAACTAAATATTGCCCAGCTGCCTCTCAGGCAGTCACTTTTTTTCTACTTGGTTAAATGGCTAGTGTCTCTAATCTCACACATTGTCGGGGCCTTTTCATTTTGTGAATATCACATTCTGCAACATGAAATATAGATGATGTTTAATTTATTCAAGATGGGGTCCCATAAATTGCTTGTGAGGCTGGGAGACTAAGAAGAAAAGTCAGTATTTAGTGAGAGGCACATCTTTCCGATAGCCGTGTGGGCGCACCCTCGGACACCTTGATTATACCATTAAACAGCTAGAGAGGGGCTGGTAAGAATGGGCACCCCTGCGGGGTTTTCAAGGACACTGGGTGGTTTTGTGTTGACCATATAAAATAAGTGTACAATAAATTCGCCTTCACTGTAATTAAAATTAAAATAGAGACAAAAGCTCGGCGAAGCCTTTTTAATCTCTAACCCTGCACCACCGAGAGTCCAGCTCAACTTTCTGGGGCCTGTTTTGCTTGATGGCCCTGCTCAGAGATGAGACGAAACGAAGTTCAAAAAAGCCCTTGTTATGGCAGTTAGGCACTCTCGTTTTCAGGCTAATTACAGCGTTTCTAACTTATATTGGGAGTTTACTATTTGCAGGTTGCCTGAGAGTGTTGTCAAACAATGCAGTGACCCCACAAGTTGATTCGCAGGCGTGGGCCCGCGCATCTCGCCAGCCTTCTGATGAAGATCCCTTGTCAATCCCACTTCACGGGCGGCTCTCGCTTCAGAGCCGGGCGTCTGGTTTCCGCAGGAAGCCGTAATGCAATTATGGAGAATTAGATTGTGTCACAGTGCTCTCCTGCGGGGAGCACAGAGTCACTTCTGAAGAATTGTCTTGAATTCTTTACTTGAAATAGCCTTCTTTTCAGATAGCACAGCAGATGCTGTTAGAGAAATGGGGCCTGCGACTCCGGGGTACACCCTCGGTCTTGTGAGCTCTGTAGCCAGCCTGTTTCTGCTGCTCTGCTCCCTGGCTGGCCATGGTTTTGCCCTTACCTGCTGCAGGGACTCTGTTGTTGGACTTGAACCTATGTTTGCCTTGAACTGTTTAGAACGTGTTTTCTCCTTCCCACCCTCCCTTTCTCCTGCCCTTTTGGGTGCAGTGATGGGTTTCCCGTCCCTAGAAAGGGGAAGCAAGCTGTCCTGTGAACTTTCCTTAGTCTATTTTCTCGTAGCTTCACTTAGTCTAACTTCGTCATAAAGCTGACGCAATGTTGTGATGTAGGAAGACAGTAGATCCGGGAGTCATTGGTTAATGCTAAGCTATTAATTTTGAGGACTCTAACCTTTAGGTTTTACTCCTCCTCCTTGCTTTCATTTTATACTAATGATTTACCTGTTGAAAATAAAGCATGTTAGAAATGCTACTATAAAAATAATGAGACAAAGTGTTTATTGCTTCTTTTAAATGTTGGGAAGGAGCCAGAGCCTAGCTATAAATTGTATGAGAATGCATTTCAGTGTTTCTGTGCAAATGTGCATTGGATTTTGCCCTTCAAATTGGAAGCATCTCAAACTAACATTTGACTTGGATGTTCAAGTAAAGAGGTGTCAACTGTGTCATGAGAATCTGGTGTAGATGTTTCAACTGTATAATCTGGGGTGTTTTTACTGCTATTTTATGCATACAGACTTGACTTGTAAGTATCATGTTCTGATGTGGTGAATTTTATGCTTTTCTTTCCTTTATCTGTTCTTCAAAAACCCAGCTAAAAGTTATATTAAGCTACAGTGGCCTCTCAGACCTCTGGTTAATTCTCACTCCTTAGAAGGGCTCTGATTTTTTGGTGGGATAAGGGCCTAAGGAAAGTATGCCAACGAAAGGGAACACCAGTGCGGATTCGCCTGTCATATTCATAAATGGGAAGCACCAGGCTCGTCTGACAAAAAGAAAGTTGTGTTTAGCATCCCAGTGCATTTAAACATTGCCTATGTTGAGTCCAAAAGAGTCTTTTGAAATCCCCAAAACTCGTGAAAATAATTGCCAACTAAATAGCTGCATTATAAACAAGACAGGAAACTCCTGCAGTGTTAACCCAGAGCTCCACGTCAGCTAGAGGCCACCGGCGCCCTGTGGGTGTCACCACTTCCTTCTGGCCAGAGGGGAGCATGGAAGGAAATGCACCTGCGAGACGTCGAACTGAAACTAAAGCCCAGCTGGGTGGGTTGACATTAGTGTGGAGTTGGCCAGAGGAGTGGTGTTAAAGTGACACTGGAAAAAGAATGTCACCATGCATTTTGTTAGATAGTTATTCCACTTCCCCTCTAGCCAAAAATAGAGAGCAAATTTATTGAGCGCCTTGGGAATTTCCTGCAAAGTGGAGCTGGCACCACAGGCCTGGGTTAGGAGCCTGGCAGGAGGAGGAAACTTACCAGCATGGAACTAGAAGAGCAAGAGACAACTGCGTTTACTCCACAGCAGGTGCCTCTGGCAGTGAAGACGTCCCTGCTGCCTCCTGAGGCAGCCACCAGGGCGGGACTCCTGGCGCTCACAGCGGTGAATGTGGCTCTGAATTGTGAGCAAGTGATTGGCCAGAGACTCTAATTTTGGGAATGTCTCATGATCAGAAGTGGCATTTGGCAAATTGTGTTGACTTGGGTGTTTCCATGACAGACTCCTGCCCCTCGAGTATAACGTAGTAAAATCCGCAGGGTAAGGAATGGATTAGTGGTGTGCGCGCCCATGTGTGTGTGGGGGGTGTATGTGGTGTGTGTGGTGTGGGGGGGTGTGGTGTGTGAGTGTAGGTGTGTATGGGGGTGCGGGGGTGAGGATGTGTGTGTGACATGTGTGTGTATGTGTGGTATGTGAGTGTAGGTGTGTGATTGGGGGTGTGGGGGGCATGTGTGTGTGTAGAAACTAATCTGAAAACCTTGAACATGTTCATCCCATGGCCTCCCGGTTAATTGAACTTTCCAGCTGAACTCTGCTGAACACCCTGGATGGGAAACTTGGGCCCGTAGATTCATCTCAGGCACCTGGGCATAAGCCATGAAAGGACCAGAAAGTGCAGTGGAGTCAGTGAGGCCTCGCCGCAGCCCTGACCCGCGTGCCGGGTGGGCTGGGCTGGAACAAAGGCAATGTTTGAATGGATGAGCCCATCGCTCTGCTGGCTGCCGACCCAGCTTCTCGGTCACGTCCTGAGCCTGATGCTGAGCTCACACTGGTGTTTCTCGTCACGTTGCATGTTCCCTGACTACTGACCGGCAAGTAGGTGTGTCCCGGTGAGACCCCAGAACCAAAGGGTGTACTGTGCTCCCCACTGGCTCGCAGCTTGGAGCTGAAGGCATGTCTTAAAACAGTGCAACTCACTTCAAATGCTTTTTGCTTTTCATTTATTATTGCTTGTCACGCGATGTTCTTTGAAAGCCTGCTCATATATTATCTGTTCCATTTTTTTCCATTTTCCCTTTTTTTGCATGCCGTTCCTCCTGTTTCTTCCCTTCCTCCAATCCTCTGTTCCCGTCTGTAGACGCCACGGCGACGACAGAACCCGCAGTTCACGGTTGGTATCACATTACTGTTTATCTACTTCCTCAGCACTGCTGAGAGGCAAGGCAAGCCTGGGAGAAGGAGGAATGTAGTCTTCAAGGGCAGCCCCGTCCCGAGTAGACGATCTCATAAATATACCGTAACTGCTAAAGGCCTGACACATGTGGAGTCTTGTCATTTCTGTTGCGAGTTCAGTAGCCAGTGTTGCAACCTGAGGAGGCCTCCTCGCCGGCTGGGGTGGCAGGAGTGTCAGTTGCACGTGGCCCTTAGTTACATAACCCACCAGACACTCAAGTACAGGGGACTTCAGATCACTAAAATTCACCTACAAATTGTAGCATCTGACTGAAGGCCCAGCTGCTTTCTTCGCATACAGGCTGGAGTCCCAGGTGCCTTTGGAAGAGGAGTCGTGTGTCATTAGCAGTTGAGACTGAAGGTCAGGGCGAAGACTCCTGCTGAATTCAGGAGATGGAGGAGGAAGGCCACCGCCTTCTGTTAATTGTGCCCTGACCCTCTACCCTCAGCTTCACCCTTCACCTCTGTGTGCACAAACATTTATGTTAACATTCGGCAGGAAACAGCTCCAAACCAAGAATGACACAATATACATATTTTAACAGCATAAACTGGGACTTTAAAAAAGTCACTTGTGTGTAGGTAACTTGCAGAAAAAATATTAAAAAGTTAAAATATTAAAAAGTTCGGTTAAGATTTTAACCAAAAGGGGATAAAAGCAGAGTGAAGCTTAGGATGGGGAGTGGGGAAATCCTTTCCCAATTCCACCACTGACTTAGTGGCTTAGAGTAAGTCTGTTAACAATTTACATCGCTCCAATCAGAAAATCAGGATCCTGTTTCATCTGTAGATTACTTATTACTTAGTGCTGATACTGTGCTTGGAGACAGATATGTTAGTTAAACAGTGGGCTGAGCTTTAATAATTGAATCCAAGGGAATTGTTTGGTAAAGGACCTACTTAAATCACTTTGCATGTTGTGCAGTGTTGAAATCTATCACCAAAATGACAAGAGGTGATCAGCCAGCCCTGGACTGTTCATTCAGCTTTTAGAGAAGCATCTCTTCCTAGCACAGACTGGCTTCCTTAAGTAGACCTGCACCTGAGGACTTACCCATCAGAAATCTCTTAGCAAAGCCTGTCCTCTGTGAGCTGGCCTTGAAGGGCAGGCCTTGACGCTTGGCCCATCACCCCCAGACTTGGACTTGCCGATGAGGAATTCTAGAAAGAAAAACAAACTTAGGTGTGGAGCACTATAGCCCTCCCCACCCCCTCCCAGCTCACCCTGCCCTTTCCTGCCATTTGCACAAAGGGAAAAGTTCATAAAGTTAAAGGGCCAAACACACTGACGATCATGAGAAATCAATTAGGTATAAAACTTCACTTTCTGAGGTTAATGCCCCATAGTGCTTGTTACATCTCCGGGACCGCACTCCATTAAGCTCAGTTATTTGTAGGTTTCATCATTAATTGAGCACTTCCTGACTTTTATCGATTATCCTCAGAGCTTTGAGGCCCTTTTAATGTAGCTCAAGAGATCTTGTTCTCTTCTTTTAAGATGCTTTACGTTCTGAGCCCCCCGTAGTTAACTCCGGGGTCAAATGTAACCGTAAGGTTCCTGAATTCTGTGAGATCTTTGAGGAAATTCTGATCATTTACCCCCTAAGACTCCAGAGTTGGGTTTTCTAGATCCGTTCCCTGCACTCCATGTGCTTTGTGACTGATGGATGTACTTGTGTGGGGTGTTCATTCACAGTAGCAAATGTGTCCCCTGACCTGAAAAATGCGAAGTTTGCCTAGGGGCCAGTCGTGAGTCTAGGACACCCCAGGTCTTTCTCCCTGGGAGAGGAAGTGAAGGTGACCCTGTGCGGCACAGTGGCGGGCCCCGGAATCGGGTTTTAGAGCAGTCCTCCGGCAGGAAGCGCGTGTCTTGCACTGCGCACAGCAGCCGCTGTCCTACCAGCTCAGGGACAGTGGCTGAGCCAGCGAGTCCTCTGTAGGATGTTACTGACCAGCAGTGTGTAGAGCCAGCAAGTTTGGGGAGGAAAAAAGAAATTAAGAAGAGATATATATAGTGTCCCAAAACAACCTATATACATTTTAACAGCTGATAGCTCAATTTTGAAAATGAAATGTATTTTAATAAACACTTTGAGTAATTTTATAATTACTCAAAGAGTGTGTACATTTTTGGGACACCCTGTATATGTATATATTATAATAAATAAGATATATTTTAATTACACATATGGTCCCTTCACAGCAGGAGAGAAGTGATAACCCAGGCTGATCCCTATATAATACATTTATGAACACATTCTCCAGCTCGTCTAAAACCCTCGTAGCCTCCTCACGAGGGGTCCGACCACTATTTTGAGCAGCATACTCTCCAGCAAAGAGCTTTAATGAAAACCAAATTAAAATTTCAAATTTTTCTTGACAGGGGGGAAAAGTCCTCCAGGTCAGCTGTCAGGATAGAAACTGTAATAGGAATGCGATAGAAATTACAGCGCAGGGGCCAGATTTCCAAGGAAATGAAGCTGGAGAAATGATTTTACTTGAGTGAGTTATGGCTAAAACCCCACTTCAGTGTGGCTACATCTGACTTAGATTCAGTCGAGGATAATCGCGGGGTGTTCAGCATGGAGACCGGGCCTAGGAAACGTGATGGTTTGATAACTGGCAACTTAAATGACAAGACGTATCAGGTCAGGCAGTCGTGACCGTTTTATTGGTCTTAAAAGTTTTTATACTGGATTTCCATATTTCTCTATTATGAAAAGAAAAAATAATTTTATAAAAAGCTTTTCCTTTGAAGACTCATTAAAACACTTTATTCAAGCTTGTGTTGCTAGAGTATGTATGACGTATACCGGTTGTTTATGTATGTTGACCATTTGTTCTTACCAGTATCTGATTGGAACAGGAAGCATGTTTTGGAAGGTTAGAAGTGCATGGGCATGATTCAAACTCAAATGGATTTTCTCCAAAAAGAAACCAAACAGTAACCAGCCACAATGTGTTTTTAATGATCTAATTGACAGTAAAGATAGATACGAGTGTAAGATGGGATTTTTAGACCAGGGTAACCAAAGGGATTTACTTTGAACAAGGATCCTGAGCATTTGTGTTTTTGGAGCTCATCCTTAAGGCCTGGCCAGGAAGACTCCTGTGTTATGTGTGCATGTCGAGCGATGCAAACAGCCCCTGCCTCACCCTCCCTGCACCACCTGCCTGACCCCGAGGGCAGGAATGCATGAGGGGCTTACAGCCCGGGTGCTGCACCTGTCATAGTTACGATGTGCGGGTGCGTGCCATGGTTTTTATTTGTTCAAATGTGGGTGCTTCTCTGTCAGTGTCTTGTGCCTTGTTCTCTTTCTGCCCTGTGTGCCCCTCTCTCATCCCCCACCCACCTCCCCATGTGAGGTTTTGGGTGACAGCATGTCCATGGTCTGGAATAGTGCTTGTGCTTTTGCTGCACTGCCCTCAGCTGGCTTCCTCTGGGTTTGAGAGGCCTCTCCCTCCCTCCCTGCCTCCCTCCCTCCCTCAAGAGAGGGGAAGGGAGAGGGAGAGAGAAATAGAAACATCATGGGAAAGAAACATCAAAACATCAATCAGTCACCTCCTGCATGCCCCCTACTGGGGATTGAGCTTGCAACCCGGGCATGTGCCCTGACCAGGAATCGAACCAGTGATCTCCTGGTTCATGGGTCGACGCTCAACCACTGAGCCACACTGGCTGGGCAAAGACCTTTCTCAAATAGAACTAGCTTTCTGGGATGATCTTGCTCCAGCCAAAGGAGGGATCTGTACCATCTCTCTCCTGAAGCTGCACATGGAGGGAGACAGCTACCGAGCTTTCCTTAGGAGGCTGCTGGGGACACACTGCCTGGAGGCAGGAGACCAATTTGATGACCTCCTGAGGCCTGCACCTTGGGTGGGGATGGCAGGAAACAGGTGTGCAGGAAAGCCTAAAGCGTGAACATTGATACCTAGAAGTGACTGAGTCCTCAGGCCCAGCCTTGCCCTCTCCCGGAGGGCAGACTGAGAGCACCAGGCCAGACCCTGCCTCCAGCCTCTGCTCCGGAAACCCCCTCATTCCACCGTGTCTGCCTAATCCCTGTTAACAGCAGGCTGACCTCCTGCCTCCGTGGCCTCACACTGAGCCTGCCCNGGAAAGTGAAAAATTATTTTCAAATCTAACTGTTCTTTTGCTTTCCACCTCTTGATACATTAGATGCTGATGATCTCATGAATTTAGATCTCCCAAATGACTTTTTAAATATTTTTAAATTCAGTATGTCATTGTGTTAAGACTCAAACCTGGAACCCCTCTGAAATAATTTTTCACTTTCCCTTTTGGTTTCAAAATGTTTCTACCCTAGTCCACTGCCCTTGGGTAACTGCCCCATGAGTCTCCCTTTCCTGACATTTCGTAAGCTGTGCAAGCCATGACAAAACTCTAAAAGCACATGAAATGCTTCTCTCACTACCTGTCCAATTGTGGGAAATTGGGAAGCCCGTTTTAAAGGAGCCGCCAGCAGTGAGCATTATTGCAACCTCTATGTCCACACCCGTGTGTCCCCCGCACATCTCTGCACGCGTGCACGGCGGAGGCGCCAGAGGCTGGCACCAGTCGGGGCTCTGCAGACAGTGCGTGTCGCACTCAGCACCAGCTGAGGTCACGAGTGGCTGCAGGACCCAGAGACTGCGCTGCCGCCTTGACATGCAGTTTGGAAACAGTGGCTACTGTTTAACGGCGTGAACCAAATTTCTGCTAATGGGAAGAAGGGAAAACTCCACAAAAGCTGACAAAGCAGAAAGAACAGGATGGCTGAGCTCTTAGATTAAAACTCCAGGGCCGTCTGAAACCTCTGTGGCTGGTGATGGAAGTGAGTTTCCATAAAATGCCGAGCGAGCAGACGCGCGCCGTTTAGGTAAGAGACCGCCTCCTACTTTTCACAGTGGGAATGCGACCAGGGCCCATGGGCTGTTTTGTTTCCTAGAGGTTTTATTGGATCGTTCTTTTTTGAAATTTTCTTTAAAAAAGGAGAAAAAAGATAAAAGAAACCCTGATGAACTGAACTCACAAACATTCAAATTTTGCTTGACCGTGACTTTGAATTTATTGAACTATTTCTAGGATTTCTTACTGTTTCTAATGTTTGAGATTTTCCTTAACCTGGTTTAAAATCTCACCACTTAGAAGCCAGCGATTTCTGTTGCAGGGAGTAGGCAGGACAGATGCTCTGTGAAGAGGCTGACTGTGTGCAGGGCGGCCAGCCCCTGAAGAAGCGAAATTACATGTCCTCCGAAGAGGCAGTTACAGTGCAGATAGCAAATTATCATGTTTGCACTGCAGGACTTTACCAATAGCTTAGAAAAATCCCGTGTGGACCAGAAGTACACTTTCATACCTTTAGCAATGTCTAAAGGAATTTGTTGACTAGAACTTAATGAGAATGCCCAAGGGGCTTTAACGGAGGCTACCAAAGTTTAAAGAGGAAATCCCAGTGCTCTCGTCACGGTGAAGCTGGACGGCTCCTTTGGGGAGTGTTCCCTGCTGTATGAAATGCATCCTCCTGGTCGTCTTTGAGAACATGAGGGTGTATAACTTTTAACGTGGAAGAAAACCACCTAGTCAGAGCAGTTTGGGAGGTGAATTTCGCATGTCGTCCCAGGCACACTCAGTGCTTCAGTGAACTCGTCCTAATGGCATTTATTCAGAAGTGATCTAACTGTGGCAGAGCACTGCAGACTCGTAAAATACAGTCGCAGGTGTAGCGCCACTAAGGTAACGACTTCCTGCTTTCAGATGTAATCTGAGCAGTGGACCCCACATGACTTGGTACATTTTAAAGTTTGTGCCATTAAAAATGACAGTTTTGTCTTTAATGAGGTATATATCAACTGTCTGTTGCTTTTTAATGGGAAACTGCATATCAATGATATTTCATAAGCATATTTGTCTTTATTTTTTTAAATCAGCTTGCTAATGCCCTCTCCAAGGAGACACGCCCTGAGCAGTAGCGCTGCCTCGAACATCCATGTTTAGTGTGGCTCAGTGGGCGCCAAGCACATATGCGGGACACTTTGAATTCACGGGGCCACACAGAAGTGAGGGATTAGCCTTCTGAGAACTTCAAATTCATAATTAACTACAGAGAAGTACTTTATGTTGCCCATTTATAACAATTATTCAAATAATTGTATTCATCAGTCTTTATACAATGGGTAAAGCCAACCAGAAATAGGAACACTTTCAACCGATCAGGTTTCAGAACAAATGGATAGCATCCCTACGCAGTTACCTCTATAACTTATTGCATTGCTCACTGCTTCCCCTTTATTCACCTAAATCCATAGTTTAGGAACATTCATGGATTCAAAATCTTTCCATTTTTAATTGACACCTGCCATTGAATCTCAGGGTCTTGGTGGAAATCAGGACCAGAAGATGTGGCCTTTTCTCTTCGTAGCACCAACCCAGCTATAATATTCATCTGGCTTGGTTATAAAACAACTTAGAAAATCCAAGTTTTTACTGACCATTTCAACATGAGTGTTTCTGCTAATTTGGGTGGTTTTTTTTTAAAATAGTGGGATCAGTTTGCCATCTCTTGTTTCTAGAACATTTGTTTGGGTTGCTTTTGTGCCCTGGCTGGTAGTTCACTGAGTGTTGCTCCCAAGTCCTCAATTCAGCAAATCCGTACCAAGCACACACTTTGTGCTTGGCTACAAGCGAGGGGAAAGATGAAACAATAAACGAGATGTCCCCTTCTCGTCAAAGACCCTGCAGTTTAATAGGTCCACAAATATCTCCAAAAGTGACAAGTCCCATTAGAGATATATTAGGGATAGTGCAAGTTAGAGGACCTGGAGCAGTTGAACGGGGCCTGGAGCAGAGCACCAAGGAAAAAGTGCAGGCCCCTGATTGCCCAACAGCATGCGGTGCTTAGTAAGCACAAAGCAAGGGGAAGACGCGCCCTCTCGTAGCCGAGCCCCCCGTTCTTTCTCTACTTTTCCCTTCTTTTAACTCACACCAGAGCTTAGCTGAGAGCCATCGCGGCTGCCGACCCTGGTGGTGACTGGCTCTGGGCATGCCAGACCTCCACTGGATTATCTCCTGACCTAACTGCTTTTTCAGCTTTGAGGGTTTTGTTTTTCAGGAATACCTCTGATTTTTGAAATTTTCTTTTTTAAAAAACCATTTTGCACATCAGATTTTCTGATGAAGGCATAACCTGCAATCTGCAGTTAGCAGATGCTGTGCCACTTCGAAACAAGTGACACTAGAGCATCGTAAATTGATCATAAACTGTATTTGACAGTATTGGCAAAGGATTTCAATTTACAGTAAAACGTGAAATCAAACTTACGTTGGTATGTAACATCTGAATATATTTGTATTTAAGAGATATATCAGAGAATCAGCAGCCGGCAGTCAGGCTTCATTATTTTTCTTTTCTGCATGCCGTTATGAATGAGTGATTTTAAACATTCACCTTCGTATTTCATGTGCTTTGAAAGTGGAGACTGAGGAATCTTTCTGCCTCAATGGCGTATCAATAACAAAATCAAATGATTGGAGAAATGTACTTACGTATTAATACATTCAAGCTATCCAAAAAAGAGAGATAGCAAGAGATTTGGCTCATGTTTTTAAGAAATTCATCCTCAGTTCTTAAGTGTTTTGTTTATGTCCCTTGAGGAATGAAAAGAAAAACGATTTGTTTTTACTTGTAAGGCCTTACTCAGTTGCCCAATTCCGCAGAAGAGCTGGACAGTGAGGACCTCGCAGGTAAGGGCTAGTCATTAGGTAAGGCACTGCAGCGTCCAACCTGTGGGCGCTCTGTCCGCTTCCACACAACGGCCATTTGGCTTGTTGAGCAACCGATGAGCAATTGTGGATTTTGAGACTAAAGAAAAATAAATTTTATTAACACTATTTTCCTCCCCTCCTGCCTCTCTTCCTTGCAGTAGTGGCATGCACATTTCAAATTGAGGCTGACGCTCTGAAAGCACTGAAGGCCGTCCTCTTTGGGACTGTCCAAAGCCACTCTGGTCAGTGGTTGATGGAAGTTTATGTTCTAGGTATATAATGGTTCAGGAGAAATTCTGTTGCATTATAAAGCAATTTAAGGATGTTGGATTATGAGACAAGATCTTTATTTTAAAAAGCTCATACTGACCATTTACTGTGGTGAGGTAGACTAGAAAAGCCTTGTCATGTATTCCTAGAAGTGGGGCAGGAGGAAGGGGACAATTGTTTTGTCACACGCCATGATGTAAACTAATTACCCACCTGAGACCTTTTCACAGCACACTGAGTTCTTGAAAAAGTAGGTTTCATGCTTGGTTCCAGGATGTAGGCGTCACTAATCCAGGATACAAAGCATATCCTAAAAGGGGGGATTGAAAACGGTCAGGGCTAAACAATTTCATGAGCTTTGTGATGTCGTAGACTTCACTGCCAGCCAGCGGTGGCTTCTTGCACGTTTTGATCCGTCCCTTCTTAATAAGTCAGTAAGGAAGACCCCTCCTCACTGTGAGGGAGAAAGCGAGGCCTGGGCTGTGGGTGCTCACTCCAGCCTGTTGGGAGAAGGTCCCATATTGCCCCTCCAGTGCAGCTCCCTTGAATAGATGACTGTTGAGATGAAGTATTAAATACAGGTGTCACCCAGTGAGAGTAAGATAGTACCTACCACCCCGTCTTTCCAAATGCAGTAGATTAATTGCCTGCTATGTGCTCCTGTCAGCCCCCAGGATGCCTTCAGTTTTCTGTTGGGTAGCACATTCCCGTTTGAGCTTAGCTGTTGGATGTTCCCGGAGTGGGAGCTCCAGGACGTGCTGGTTTTGTTCACTGCTGTATGCCTGTCCCGTAGCAAGCACACAGTTGACCCTTGGACGAATAAGTGGATTCCAAACCCCAATGAATTTACATAGATAAACAGATAAAAGGCTGGAAAGACAACCAGCCCACCAAAGAAGTGCTTCATTTTTGCCTCTTCTTTGTGGTATATTTGGAGAAGCTACAAAAACATGAGCCTGATTATCTTTTAAAATGAGAGTAGACAAGCCCTTCTCCCTGTGTAGAGTGCAGTGCCCAGCATAGAGGACCTCCGCCTCAGTCTTGATCCTGATCCTGGTCTTGACCCTGAATAAACCTCTCTGACACAGTGGCCCTGGCAACTGCACCTTCTCAAGGCTCTGAAGGAAGGACTGCGTTCTCATTGGCCCTCGTCCCTCTTGGCGTATAAGCCACACAAGGATCACTCAGAGATGCAGAAGTAGTTTTCTCCTCTTAGGAAAATGGGGTGAAATGCCACCTACCCCTCCCCAGCATCATCAGTCACAGAATAGTGTGGGTCTCTGAGCTCTGTACCAGTCAGACAGTCAGACGCAGCCCTGCCGCAGTTCTATCAATCACCCCCCAGTCAGGAGCCATAAACCAACAACTGTTTGTGTTTATCATAATTTGGTTAAATTAATAATTGCTCCCCTCCCCCACGCCCTCCAGGAGCACTGCATCTCCATTGCTCAGGAGCCATAAGTCTTGTTGAACACTGACGATCCGTCAGGCTGGGCCAGGCTGCCTTTGCATCTGGTGTGATGAACTCATCAAAAACTGATTAGCACCTTTGTTCAAAGGGGATGCTGATTAATCAATTACTATTGATTGTGAGCTTGACTTCACTCAGCAGCAAAGAGACATCTGAAGGGAAAAAAAAAAACAACCAATAAAAATTGAGCAGCTGTCATAGTGTTTAAATTTATTAAAACAAAATACATTATTTTTTATGAAGCTGTCTTGAAATGGGTCACTGAAGGGGAGCATATTGATTGAGAAAGGATGAGCTCAGACTTCTGTAGCCTGGAGACTGGACTCAATTATAATACAAGGCAAGCAGGTTAACACCGTCTTAAACAGCCCATCAATAAATTAGAGTAGGTGTTGCCCATTTAATGCTAAACTGTGGTAATAATATTACCATTCATTCCTGCTCTAGCTCGGTGGAAATTTCATTCTTTTCATAATAAGGATAAATGATATATTCTGCATTTCCTTCAAAATAATGATAGTCGGTCTTTAACTCATCCCCATCGCCCACGGCCCCATCCACCAGCGCTACCTCAGCTAATGACAGTTTCACAAGCAACAGACGGCGCCCGTCCTCGCCCAGCGAAGCAAGTTGCCCAGCTGATCCTCTTTAATCTGCATTAAAAATTGTGTTGTACATAGTCCAGCGATTTAATTCCTGGCAGACCTGGGGGCTTATCCAGCCTGACTTTGAACCTCTCACTTACTTTTTGGGCGTTAACTTTATTGATGGAAGAGCCACAAGAGTTGAATTGTTTATCAGTTACACCTGCTGTTTCCTGGTGACAGCTGGTGGTTATTGCCACCCGTGTGGAATAGAATAGCTTTAAGCATATTTATCCTTCCATTGTATTTTAAAACTTTTAAAAAATGTCTCGCCCTGCCTCAGCAACGGCAGGGCCTTTGGAGACTGTTTAGTGCAGTGGAGGGAATACACCGTGCGCCAGAGCCTGGTCCCCCGGCAGTCAGAGCGGAGGAGACAGGAGATCCCAGAGCTGTCCTGCTTCCCCAGAGCACGCTCTCAACTCGCCCTACAAACGAGAAAGTGATCCCGAAAGATCCTGCAGTGTCTCCCGCACACTGCACAGGAATGTCTGGGTGGAGGGCAGGAGGGCAAGTGCTGAGCGGCTTTGCTAATCCATGCCAGGTGGAAAGGAAGAACCAGCCACGTGAGCCAACTCTGGCCCCCAGATGGATCACAAGGAAAACATGGGCTGAACATACAGCCCGAGTTTAGATAAGGGAAGCACGCAACGGTCTTCGGATGCACATGGTCAGTTCCGGGCTGCGATCGATGGCCACCTGGCTATTCCGAGAATCCTCAGTGTGTGCGAACTGTTGGGAGACACAGCGTTTTGAAGGACTCTTGGCCCCACCTAACGTGTAATGATGATGGTAATGATAAAACAACGAAAACCAGCCGGCCTTGGGCTGTGTAGACACAATCAGGGTATGGCCCATAAATGTAAAGTATGACATTGTCTACTCGTATTTATAGTATTTACAGCTGAGAAAGCTCTTTCACACATATGGATGACCTCACTGATCTTCAGTCACTCAGCACAATTGTTTGAGCTCCTCCATGCCAGCTCCAGGCTGGCACCAGGGATGCAGCAGTGACCAACCAGAAGCTGGAGCTGCCATAGATTCCAGGGGCCAGGCCCCTGCTCCTCACTGTCACGGTCTAGTGGGGAGACAGGCCCAGAACACAAGAAAACAAACATCGGACAGTGGCAAATCCATGAAAAAGACAAAACTGGGTACAGTGAGAGTGAGTGCGGGCTGGGGAGAAGTGGAGGCGCTCACCAGGGAAGCCATTGGAACAGAAAGACCAGCGGCCGAGAATGAGCCAGACACAGGAAGGTTTTCATGAAAACCCTGTGCGATTGTTAGGGAAAGGTGGTTAGTCTCCCCTTACAGCTGAGGAAACCGAGCTCTGGGGTGAACTGATTGACTCAGGAGACGATTGAGCACGTGGGTCTTCCTGCCTCGGTAGGAGTGTGCGACTGGGTTAAGTGGCTTTCTTCCCTGTGAGATCCATGCTTGCTTTGCTCTGGGGCCTGGAGAATCCTTTTCTTCTCGGGTCCTCTTCAGTCCAGTCTGCAGCCAGGGAATGAGGAGGGGAAGTCGAGCCCCCAAAGCCCGTCAGGTGTAGAGCCACGAGTTGACTGGCCTGGGTCGATCTCTCCCAGCGTTAAATCAGCTTTTCCCTTTAGAGAAGACCTTACGCTGCCCAGGTGATTCCAGCCACTGTCCCCTGACTCCTAAACGATGGGGTTAGTTCCCACTGAGACGTTCTAAAGGCCACGGGAAAGTGTTGAGCTGCAGAGGTTAGACATGTGGGTTCCCTTACTTAAACCGCCATTTAGTACCCGGCACTAGCTGACAAGTCACACTGGGCCTGTGCCGGCTTGTCCGTGACTCCCTCACAGTGAGACTGAACTTCATCATATTGCTGATCATCCCATAATCCAACATGCTACTGTTTCCCCCGTGGGGAGTAGGAGATAACCAAATAGGAACTTTTCCTCCTAATTAAAAAGTTGGCAGACTACAGGGCAAAATGTGAATTCCACTTCTACAGGTTGGACACTGCTTTGGGGTGTCATCACACTCATTAATCCATCCTCAGCCCCCTAAATGCCTCAGGTCCCCTGAAGCATCTTTCTCCAGAGAGACCCTAGTGGGGAATGTGTGCTTGAGACTAGTTCCCAGCCCTTTATCGGGCGTGTCCTCCTTCAAGAGAACTGGCACCATCCTCGGTGCTCTCCTGGTGCTTAAAGTGGAAAAGGCCTTGCCCTTCTGAGCACCTGTTACCGAGACTGGTGGAGTGGACTCCCGGGTGCCTCTCGGTCCTGGCGACGCTAAGGGCCTGGGGAGGGTCTCACCCTGTCGAATCAAGTCATTTCCACTGCTGCTTAAATTAACTCCATCCGTTTACTTGAGAAGGGAGAAAAGTCAACATTGAAAAAACCACTTGTCCTTATAAGTTGCTGACAAGTATTTAATATCCTGATTCTCGAATGGTGCGCCTGAATTATGACTTGGACTAGGTGACCTTCGGCCACCAGGCTGCATCCTTGACCACATGCGGGAGAGACAGGCCACTGGCCCCCTGCATGAGAAAGGGCAGGCAGGTGTTTATGGGGCACCTCCCCACGGGAAAGCAGTGCCAAGCATGCAGCACAGCCCCTACCCCAAGGAGCTGATAAGTGTTTGCCTCGAATCAGTGATAAGAACTGAACAAAGCCTTCCTCGGGCTTCAGTAGAACAGACATGAGCGTGGCAGATACTCAGAGTACCTGTGCTATGCCAGGCCCCGGGCCGGAGGGCACGCCCATACTCAGCAGCATGCTGACCTCTCAGAACGACCCTGCGAACACGGGTGGTTGTGTTCAGTGGCTCAGAGTGGCCATCTATTGCCTGACGTCACAGAGAAGAATGACTAGGCCCAGCTCCCCCCCCCCAGATCTGAAGCAAGTCCAGCGTGCTTTCCTGGGGACCCCACAGGAGGCGAGGCCCTGAGTCCTCCTGCATCCCCGCTCAGGCCTATTTCCGGAGGAGACTGCAGGCAGTAAGAGCCACGAGGTCCTGAGTCCTGCTCGCAGAGTAGCCGCAGCACCGCCACAGCCCATGTGCAGCACTTGTCACCTAAGCGAGCGCAACTGAGCCCTGGTGTCACGACCAGGACGGCTGCAGTCTCCGAGGAGCTCACCAGAGTCCCTTTGAAATGTCAGGGCAGCTGCAGCTCCACGGCGAGAGTGAGATGCAGCTGAAGGCGTGGGGCTGCCGGGCGAGTGGAGGAGTCTCCCTCGCCTTCCCTTTCTGGGGAGCCGGGAGAGGCTGTGCGCACCGCCTAGCATGCTCCGTGCGTATTAACATCTTAATGGGAGCGCTATGCATGCGCTGTATACATTTACTCCTCTCTGACAAGAGGGAATTAAATGTCAGAAGGATTTGTAGCATCTATAATTGAATTGGTGCTGAGAAAAGCAAATCTTTAAGAAGAATAACATATTAGGATTAGCAAATGATGTGGCGCTTTGTCAGCGTGTGCCATTCAGTTTGTGCCCTTCAGTAACAAAATTGTGCTGTTTAAAATGCACACTTATTTCTGTTGCCATGACGGGAGCTACATGGGTGACGGGAATGAGCTGTTACGTTACTCAGTTGGTGCTGGGGTTTTTGGTTTATTTTGTTTTGTCTTTGAGGTCAGATTTTGTTTTTGCCTGAGGTTTGGAAAATCCACTGTCAGGCTGTCTCTTTCTTCCTAGCAAGTGACACCGTGATCATAAGCTGCTTCTGGGTAGACTAATCCCTCCCGCAGCCCCGGGAAGCTGGAGGCAGCATTTCCCTTCTGAAGTCTGATGCTGAGAGTTTTTAATTAAACTGGCCCGTCCAGCGAGACTTCGGTGCAGGAGAGAGGCTAGAACTAAGCCAAGTGGCAAAAAGTTTTCTCCAGTCACCCCAGAGGAGGAAACTGGAAGGTGGAGCGTCCGAATTGTTCAGTAAATAGAAGTGGGCGACCGATACCATTAGGACCTCCCCCTGTTACTGGTTTTTAAGATGAGACCTAAGGTAGTTTGTAAACCGTGAGAGAACAGACAGGAGCGTTTAAGGGGAGTGTCGAGCTCCCCCCAGGTGTTTAAATGAGCCTCGTAGCAGAGCCGGGCCTGTTCTTGGGTTTGCTGTGTGAAGGAAGCCAGCAGGGGAGTGGCCAGCAGGGGAGTGGCCAGCAGGGGAGTGGCCAGCAGGGGTGTGGCCA